TCCAAGTCAAGAGGATTGATGGGGTGGCCATACATTGTGCAAATGAGAAAATCCAAGACATGACAAAAGGCCAACCAAGCCTGGCAAGAAACTTCACAAGAAGCATGTTTGCCAATGGTGTCAGAAGCTGACACCTTGAGTTTCTTTGCTGCTCTGCGACTGTCCACTTTGCTGAATATCTCATTCAGCTTGCAGCTTTTGTAAGTTGCAGGGAGGACAAAAAAAGTAGAATAGTCAGCCATCTTTGACCAAGCTTATCTTCAAAGAGCCTGTAGACACATACATTCATGCATCCCTGGCACACACCATGCATCCAACATGAAGCTGGAAATAGGATCTATGAAAGGTCTGAGTCTGGGACACATCAATAAGCCTTCTTTGCAAAAGGACCATCCACTGGCTTGCTCCCAAAGCTTGAAAGATTTCTTGCTCTCAGAAAGGAACCTGTCCTGGTGTCTATCCAAAGAAGCACATACTTCTGTGCTTGTGCCCAACACAAGCTCATCCTTCCTCAAAGCTTGGGAAGCATTGATGCTGGAGCATTTCAAACAGCTCTTTGTTGCAGAGTCACCTTTGATGCCCAAAGTCATCTTTTGGCTGGCCCCATCTTGGATGAAGATGGACAACTTAAAGAATAGTCGAAAGCTCTCCTGTAGAATTGGGCCCTGCAGAACCACAGCCAGATCAAGTGGTGAAGCTTTTGTAAAGAAAAATATGTCCAGCAAAATAGTTTTCATGATTTGACCCGTTTGGCCAGAGACTTTGGACACCAAAGATGACCGTGCTATCATCACAAGCAACCAGCTGTCTTGGTTGCTCAAAAACTTGTGCCCAAACTCCTTGAAAGTTGCATAACAAGCCCAGAGTTTCTTTTCAGATCTATTTGACAAAGGTTTTGCTGGCCAACACTCATCACTGTAAATCATTAAGGACCATGGCTTGGCAGCAGAGGGTGCTCCAACCTTCTGGACAGTGTCTTTGACCAAGTGGTAGAAGAAACCTCCTTGCTTGTAGCATGCTGGAGTAAGTTCAGTGTTCATGGCTTCATATTCTTGTGCCTCTTTTAAGTTCCTCTTTGTAGCTATCGAAGGCTTCTGTGTACCAATCATACATCTCGTCTCGACCCTTCCTCAGCCTATTTGCTTCATCTTCTCGGTGTTTGAGATCTTCGCTGTTTTCATCGGTGGATCGAGAGGTTGGTAACCCTCTTCCTTCCCGACTACCGTCTCGTGTTGGGCCGTGACGTATCTCTGCCTTCATCTTTGCATTTTCCGACCTCGTTTCCGATAGCTTCTTCTCGGTGTTCTGTAGGTTTTCCTCGAGTTCCCGGATCTTCTCTTCGATTCCTGCTTTCTCTCGTTAAGTCCTCAGAAATTCTCTCTCTTCAATACTTTATTTGCCTCGGCAAGGGCGAGATTGGCTTCCTTCAACTGTTGTTGTTCCTCTTTTGCATGTCGTTGGGCGCCATACGCTGCTTCCTCGACCGTTTTCGTGGCTTCGGCCATCGCTCTTGCTTCATATTCAATTTGTTGCGCTTTCATCTCCTTTTCTTTGAGCTCTAACTGGTATCCGTGAATCCCGGACTTTTGTTCAAAGTCACGGGTGTTCATCTCTGCAAGAGAACTCAGTTCTGATCCTTTGATGATAGCTAGTTGTCCGAGGAAGGTGTTCAACCATTCTTTGCTCTTGATACTGATGACCGGTAGTCTCAGTCATCTCGGCGGCCAACTGCATTTGTCGTACTTCATTACTCCACTGCTTTTCCCTTTCCCTCTGAGCTACTTCCAACATGTTGCTGTTCTCATCTTGTAGTTCCAACATTCTTGTTTGACGATCTTTGGCAACGTTCATGATTGCACGGTTCTCTTCGTTCAAGCTCTGAGCACGTCGGTTGTAGGCACCAGAAGTTTGGCTCTGCTCTTGTGCTCTTGGATGTAATGAAACGCACTCTGCATTTCGCTGTTCATATCATTCATCTTGGATCTCACTTCGTCAAGTTGCGATTGTTCTTCATGACTTTCTTGAGCAAGTTCTTCGTACTTCGTGTAGATGTGATCCGCTAATGATTCAGCAAGCCGGAGCTTTCTCTCAAGTTCTTCAAATCGAATAGTCGCTCCTTCATCTTCTTGCATCATCTCTTGTAGGTTCAAGCGCACAGTCTTGTTGCATTTTGTCAGTTGCGAAAACTCCTCCTGCGATTCGGTGTAGAGTCTTGTATACCCATCACGTAGACAGCTATTTTCGTAGCTGATCGCAGTTCCTCAATGAGTCGCATCTCTCTCTCTCTCTCTCTCTCTTTTCGGAGTCTTTAGCATCCTCGACCTCGACTCTTTCAATATCTCTCTTGGCTGATCTTCGTGTAGATGTTCTCGGTGATGTTGATCTTTCAAATCTCTTCAATACTCCCTTCATGTTGCCTGTTGTGCCGGATCCAGCAGATGTCGTCTCCGGTGGAGCGACTTCGCCTTCACCAAATATCTGTGACCCTGTTGGCATGGTCACTATTGTGGCGTCTGCAGAGCTCGCACCGGTCAATGACCCCGGTGACGATTGAGATGCAGCTCCTCCAGGTGAAGCAAAGGAAAACTGTTCGCTGCTCTTTCCTCCACAACTAGACATTGCAGGTCTTGCAGGTCTAATGTCGACAACTCACTTGTGGTCTCTTTCAAGCTCGTAACCTCTGAGCGGCTACGGCTGATAACCTGCGCGTGGATATTAACCGCGGGTCAGTGAATGATCCTCAGCTATCCTATGTGTCCATGAGCATTGAGCAAAGCGAGGCGCTTATTTTCTCCGCCAATGGCTCCTTGAGCCAAAGGTTGGCAGTTGTCTCACGCATCTATATTGACTGTACATATAGTGTGCCTGTGACTGCACTTACGTTGACAAATTAAGTTCCATAAGTTCCAGCTAAGTCCACTTGATCTGCCTCACGCACACTTGACACTTGAGACCAAACTAGTCACCAAGTACTCGCTGGGCCCCCTGCAGCTTCCAGGCGGAATTCCTCTTTCAGAGGTGAGGAATCTGGGCCGCTGAGGAGCCCCTGGGAACGATGTTCGCGGTTGATGGGCTCGGGACTTCCTTGGTCTGAACTCCAACTCCATCACGATTGCGTAGATGCACGCCAATTATCTTTGGCGTCAGGGGAAGCGGGAGCAACACTTGCTCCTTCCTCATTAGCGTCAAGATGCCTTCTGCTGACTTGACCATGGAAGTTCCAGAAAGAGCCCTGTCAATCAGCACGTTGAAGGTGGATGTCACTTCAGATGGCAAGCTGTGCACGCCATTCTTCAAGGTAGCTGTGATACTCGAAGATAGATAAGTAGCACAGGTAGAACATTAAGTCTGGTAACCACTTACTGTAGTAACCCTTGTAGCTACATAGTAAGCAGAGTGCCCTAAGTAGGATATATCTCTTGGGTGCTTTTTCGCGGTCCAAAATGGAGGTCACCCTACTGTCACAAACCAAAAGAAGAGCTGGTGGTTTCACCGGTGCCCCGCACTCACGTCGCCGCGCGAAGCAAGCCCTCTCCTGGCTTGGCGGCGCTGGCTTGAATCCCTCCCGCGCGGGTCCAGAGCTCACAACGGCCGCCTGCCACCCGTCCGAGCGGCGCCCAGACACGGCACAGGATGCGAGTAGCGGGCGCGCGAGGATGACAGTCCAAGTAGCGGGGCGCAGTCTGAAGTGTTTTGCCAAACTGAAGGTTATGACGTATGATGACGTATGTACGTCTATCATATCAGGTTTCCAATGGTTTCCAGCCAAAGAAACAATAAAGCCACTGCAGCGCGCCTTTAGTGAGGTCCGGGGGTCCCTGAGGTCCTCGCCTTCATGATGTTCAACGCCCACACACTCCGCTTCTGACTGGCACATCCGCTGGCAGCCCTCCAGCGACAAGCCTGGAGGTCGACAGTCGGCAGGTCTAGTCGGCGCAGCGAGAGAGATCGGGATGAACAGTTCGTGGTCAATGATTTATTGAGAGAAGCTTGTGACAGCAGCATTGCCCCGTTTAAATCGCTTTTTGCCGACCCTCAGTTCGTCCATTCCACAGAAAGCTTGGATACGAAGGGATACTGAAGGGCCCATGTGAAGTCCAAAAACGAGACATAAGTCATACTACAAAGCCGTGCGCAAGGAAACAATTCTCAGAAACACCTTGTGCTTGCGCAGAGGTTTGGGCACTTGCTCAGATGGCTCAAAGAGTACCCTGACACACGTGACTCAATGACTCAAGCCTGCAAGCCCTATGTCTAATCGTTTGGCCACATCGGTTTTGGGAGCCTCTGGAGAAGACCACGAACTCTGAATTCAACTCGCAGTGTTTTTGTCCACGCCCAACCGCTAAAAGGGTGCAGACCTGTTTGCCGGAGTAGCATGGTTAGATCATGTCGCAAGCTCCGTTGTTGCGATGTCCAGTGTGACACGGAGCTCCATCTCCTCCGGACACCGCACCTGAGACCACGTGGAAGTAGTCCTCAGGATTCAAGTTTGCAGGAGATCCTCTGCGGTATCTGGAGATTTTGTGAGGTATGGGGAGATCCTCTGAGGTGTTTCGGCCGAATCTCATGTACCATTTCACTCGTTTGGAACGAAGTCAGAGGATTCTAGGCATGTCAGTCCAATCTTTGGCATCCTCACTGGTACAGGGGGCGCAACAAAGGACCAACGGCGACTTCCCGTCAGAAATCCATGTTTTCTGCCACATGATGCAGGATGTCTTCCATTACCCAGACCATCCACGGGACTGGAATAATTGTATGTGTATATGCCATTGTATGCCTACATTGACCTCATGCATCAACCACCCCAATGTAGGTAAGTCCCATACATAGGCCAGTTCCATGGATGGTCTTCCACTGTTGGGTCTTTTTATCAACTCCAGCCCCCGTTGTGTTCAGATGTCAAGATTTGGACGACTTGGCCAGCAAGGATTCAGCCAGGAAACCAGAAGCTAAGAAGAAAACGCACAGGTTTAGGATGGTTTAGGAATCAATAAACTGAAAGTTTTAAAGACACTTCTCACTCGTCCACCCAACAAACATTCCGAGGTCTGACCTAGTTTTAGGGTACCTTCTTGATATTGTTATTCCCTCCTACATGTCTGTGCAAGGTCTATCCTTCTTAGCCCTAGATTTCATTTTGTCCAAGTGCTTGTGACATAGAAGTATATCCTTGTGGAGCCTGTTCAAGATGAAGTCTTTGAAACGTATGAGCTCATCTCTGAGAATCACTTTGCAGAACTGCGGCTTCGGTGACCAAATATCATGTAGCAACATGCAACAACTGTGGATCCAACCGGGGCCACAGGACGGAGATCCCCTCTACTCGAACTCAGGGAAGGCCGGAAAGGCTGAAAAACTCACTGTCCCTCGCATACTCTTGAAGCTCGAGCGTTGTTTGAACCAAGTAGGCTCTTACCCAAACCCTTCTACTTCACGAGTTTTGAAACTCGAACTCGAATTGTTTTTCCTGCACGTTGGCCCTCTTGTCACAAAAAATGATTCCACATCCTGCTCCACCCATGTCCACCCCCATCCTGCTCACCTCCGCGTCTTGCCCGCGCAGAAAAACGCCCCACCTGCGAGTTGTCGTTGGCGTGCCGCCCACGGCAGGCGCGGCCCGTCGCCCCATCGACGGGCTCGAAGCTGCCGTGGCGGAGGCTTTCAGGATCGACGTAACGGAGGCAGGTGTAGCCGCCTTGGAGAAAACAAAAGAAAGGAAAGTGAACCTTAAGCATATGTATATATATAGTTAATATCATCATCATTGCATTTACTATATATCATAGCACTGCTTCTAGCAAAATGAACTTCATTGAAGTTCCAGTTCAGCCTGTCTGAGGATGAAATCAATGTCTGACAGGTCTTTTATGGGCTTTTGGTGTTTGCTATTGCTTTCAGGATGGTTTTCTGAGCATGCGGCATTGTTGTTTCTTGTTTGAAGCTGGGGTGGTGTTAGACCAACAACTGTTGATGAGGTGAGCGGGGAGTTTTTGTTTTTTTTTTTTAAACGTCTGTAGAGTGCTTAGTCTATTGAGGTTAATTGATCGATTAATTGAAAGCAAACAACTGTGGGGCTCCTGAATTGAACAAAAGACTTTAGTAGATCAGTTGATCAACACGGCTGGCGGTGGATGACAGGTGTAGATTTTGAACCGAACCTGGAGATCCCCCAACATTTCCAGCTGCTCGCAGCTGCTGTTGAGCTATATGTTTTCCGAAGTTCAAAGTACCAACTTAAGAAAGAATCTTAAATAGTTGAACTATATAGATCTTGACATCAGACAGTGCTTTCAAGTCTTTGTTTCTGCTGGATTCTCAATGAAATGACTCCCTTCTTGGAATGCAGTCCAGGAGCCCATAAAAAGTCCATGCAGTCCACTGTTCCCTCTCGGTCTGTTTCGGAGAGGGGAGATCGGGCACATCGCTCCTTTCAACTCTCCTTTCATATACCCTATGTGATACCCTGTGCATCGATCCACATACCTTCAGGAAGAGGGTGATTGGAGACATGTTCGGCCTGGAGGGTCGGATAGCTCAGCACTGAGATCTCCCATTCCGCCTTGAAACGTGCCATCTTCGCAGACCACTCACCCCTATAAATCCAGTCGTACGTCCTCAGGTTCGGTACGACTGGACCCGAACATGGCACCTACATAAACAGTCTCCTTCCTCACCGTACCTGAGGTTCGCTACGACTGGATCCCGGCACCTTTCTGAAGACCGGAGACGCTGAAGACCGGAGACTTCGGTGCTTTCGACCGAGGCACTGAGGCGCTTGGAGGCACGGATGGGTCGGGTCCAGATCTCGCAGCGGACGCCCTTGAACTCGAGGCCTGACCGCGAAGCTTCGTCCGTTCGACCGCCGTTCCCGCGTGACGCCGCGTGGTCACGCGGCGAGACGGAGAGAGACCGTGTTGTGTTGTTTTGTTCGAAGGTCAACGGGTTTTGGGGACGACGGCGCGGGTCCACGCAGACTTGGGAGAAGCGAACGCGGACGGGTTCACGTGGGTTCCATGGATCGGATAGATGGGACTGTACGGTCCACTTATGGCCGCCTGGGTTGTCTAATCCACTTGGTCCACGACCCGGGATGCTTGGAACTGAACTGATTGGATGTCTTTTTCGCGATCCGATGTTGGGAGAGGTGTTCTGGCGCCTCAAAAAACGCACTAAATTATGTCCATGTTCAATTCCTTTTTTTTGAAAATTCGGAGTCCAGATGTTCCACACGTGTCTCATGTCGAAAACACTCTGCCCAAGGGATTCCCGGTTCCGGAGGAACGTGTCTCTCAAGCGTCCGGTGCCGAATTCGAAGTTGGATGGCCCATGGATGGCCATCAAATCGACACTCTCATGCACTTGGAAAAAGGGCTAAACCTCGGACCCTGCGCCATGAAGCCGGATGGCTGGAGATGTTCTTGTCTCTCCAGTCTCTCCAGAATTTTTCACATCTTCATCTCAAAACATGTTGTCCATCACACATGGCAGGATTCTGGTAGAGCAATCACCCTGATTCATGAGTTAACTCAAGATTCTGCTGATTTCCACTGTGACGGATTGCTCGTTGCACCGTCACAAGATCCGGTCTTCGCCTTCACATCCGCTGGTGGCTTTACATTGGGCTTGACCTAAGGGCACACGTCAGTCAGCTGGAATGTGGGATGGACTGCCGGGGTGTTGGGGGGTCGGGTGGAAAAAAAGGATTGTCACATTTAATTAATGTCTGTCATGTGTTTTGGACGTGTTTTAACCTGTTTTGTGGTAAAAAGGAAACACGTCGACCAGTGACTCGTCGAGCGAGCAATTGGGGTCCCTGCGATGGCCGACGACCAAATGGGTCCACAGTTGTAGGGTGGCCGCCATGTGAACCATCGGAACCATGGCGATCAAAGCCATTCAGAAGAGGTAAAAGATGGTAAAACATCGTGGGTCTTCTCCACAGGTCTATCCCTCACCTCACAAAGTTGCCTGCCAATTCACTGGCTCACCTGTATGGGCACTGTGGTCTGTCTTTTCTTCTTCGAAACACTGCCCTCAGCAAGCAGGGGGAGAGACACTTTCAATCAAGTGCCGCACAAATCCGGAAGGCTGAGCTCCGTCGTGGTCCGCGCGTCCATTGAGAGAATTCGGGAAGAAACAGGTCTGTCTCTGTGGGGGTCGGATACCACGACGACTGTGACCACCAAGTCACTGACACGAACCCCAAAGCTCCGAGCCACCTGCTGTTCGGACCTTTACCACTTCACCTTGCCATACTCAACTGACAGGACAGTCCTACTTGCTCGATCGGTCGAAGGCTCGCCCACGGGCTCCAGTCGTACCTCCTGGCACCGGTTCGGTATGACTGGACTCTCCTGACACCCACCCCCAGTCCCACCTTGGAAACGAAGGTAGCTACTTGGAGCCCTAAGGCTTCCAAAGATCTGTCGCTTTTGGCTTCGCCCCGAATAACACCGTTATAAAAACCGTTCGAATACGCCCAAGGGGCAATCTGCCAGAGTGGAGCGCTCCACCACCTCTGGAGGATAAAGGGCTCGTCATCTGAAAAAAAAAACAGGACCATCATACCATCTGATGGTTAGTTCAATGGACTATCTAGAAAAACCGATGGTTTTATAGTTCAATGGACTATATATAGAGCCCCAAATAGAGAGAAACATATAAAGCCCCCTTTCAAGATGTATTGGGTGAACCGCTTCTATCTACTTGGGGACCACTGTATATCACCTCTCGGGAAGAGAATCCACGTGGGACCACACCGTGGACCCTTCGTGGGTTCGATCATTTTCCCCAGTACCAACCCAGCTGGGTTTTGAGAGTCCATGTTTCCATGTTCATCTGCAGGGGAGTAGTTCAATGGACTATCTCTACTATAAGTATCTATAAGTAGTACGAGTAAAAACATGTTGAAACTCCAGCCAGGACACTCATTGGCTGATTATTCAAGAGGGAAGTGGCAAGTGTACAGTATGGAACTTCTTAAGAATTGTTTTAGGGGAAGAACATCTGAAGGGGTTCCAGTAGAAGATATCAGAAGTATACCAGGAAGGCTTTGAAAGTGAAACATTAATCTGGAACCCACTTTCAGGTCAAATCGCTTTCTGTTTGCAAAGAAACATCCATGGAGAGCCACGTTTTTTTGCTGGAGAATCGATTCCCCTCCGAACCGTGTGATATCGACATCTACCACATCCACGACCAAACATCTAAATCGGCCGATTCCGCCCATCGACGTAGCAAAACCCGTCACCGCTTTTGGCGGCGAACTAAATCGATCCCGGTCCGCGATCGGCCCAGGTCACAACCGACCGGGCGGGTTGGTGGATTTGAATGCTTTTTTCTATCCGATCAACGGACACCTTTGGATCCCTACGTCGTCTGTTTGATCTGTTTGATGCACATGCTTAATTAAGGCAGTGCAGGCTTCTCCGGGTGTGGCGCCCCCGAACGACCCGTCCGCGGGTACCAGTACCGCTGGAAGTTCTGAAGCAACAGGACCGGACCAATCCGATGACTTGGACCCGAACACAGGGGGGTGTTGGAACGGACAAGTCTCAACAATGCATGAGCATGAAAAGCGGTTCAGCCGGTCGGAACCGTCTTGAGACTCTAAACCTGAAACCATGCAGAATGATCAGTGATCTGTGCTGATCATACAACACATGTGTGTGATCTGCTGTGAAGTTGCTGTCATCTGAGTTCTACGATACCTTTCGGAAGCCAAACACAAGGTGTGGAAAAGAAACACACAGATTCGATGAATAAAATCCATCAAACCCATCAAGTAAAATAGAGGAACACCAAGTAAAACTCAACCTGATGTGACCAGAAATATCACATGAACCAACCAGCTGTACAGGTCTACCTACCGCATGTGTTCATTCGAAATAGGCCGGCCCAACCCTCCGCTGGGTTTGCCACCTGGTAGTACTCGGCGGAGTTGTCCGTGGCCGAGTCTCCGCGGCAGGCGCGGTCGTCTCCTCCGTCGACAGGCTCAAAGACGCGCTGCAACCTGCGGGGTTCGACTCGACTCGGCGGGTCGGCAGGGCGGCGATGGACGTTGGGGATTGAGAGATATTGGTTCAATGGAAAGTGAATGAGTCCAGACCATTTCCTTGGGTCAGAATCTAAAACAAATAACTGGTTGCGGCAATATATGGTATTAATATCAAGCTTCGCTTTGAAAACGTCCGTGTGTTCAAGCCAAACAACCTATCTATTAGTCAGTTCAACATACTTTTTAAGAGGCATGTTTCCATCATCTTCGCTGTTGAAATCTGTTGCGCGCCGCGCAGAGCCGCTCCACACAGCTCTTGGTCCCTCGAACCCGGATTGACGAGACTGCCTCGTGGGTCCAGCGTCTGCATGGGCAATGCATCTATACCAAAGTGCTCGTTACGTTCGTAGCTTCTTGTTCTGTTCGTAGCTTCTGGCCTCCAGCCTAATAGCATCTGGCCTCCACCCGTGCGTAGCTTCTAGCTAGCTAGTAACAAGTTCCCAGACACTCCATCTATGCCATATATGCTTCAATGTATAGAAGGAGATTTCCTTGCATTTGGGTGCTATAACTTTTCATTCAGGTCCCAAGGAGTATGATTTCAGGACATGAATGTTCATGCCCAGTGGCACTTCTTAGACATTCTCCCAACATAAATCAGCTGTTAGATCAGGAGCATCCTGTGTGTTTCTGGGAAGGGGGGGTATGTACTCCACATGTCCCATGTCGTTTGAAACGTTTCCATTCCCGTGCTTGGCTCATTTTCAGCGCTTCGGACTGGCTCCATCGCAGTCGCTCGAATCTCAGCAGGAATGGGAAATTTACACAATGCGAATTGCTTGGTCTTGATGCATAACCCATGGCTTGCTGCCCTTCAAGAAGTAGAGCGGTTTTCCTCAGCATCATCGCTGTGAAAAGAGAACACCAACAGTCACCAACTTGCATTCTGGTTTATATTCCTTTGATGTTGGACTCAGTGCAAACAGGGTGCGAGGTCGAAGTTCCTGAGTATGGATTTGTTTACAATTTTTGTCTGTCTACTAGCCGCTTATTTGCTGCTGCTGTAAATAGTGGTTTTCCTTTGTTCATGTTTCCTTTAGTGGGCAACGGAACTCTTGATATTCAAGTCACGTTCGTTTCCTTCACATATGCGATCCTCCAAACCATCTTCAAAGCCTGGCTGCCCAGCAGGGCCTGCAAGGAAGGAATGGGAAGTATACCAACATACTAAGACCAACAACACTTTGCATTGCATTCACCCCACAAGTGTCACAAGAGTGTTACAAGCCTTCGCTTCAAAAGCAGACGCTAGTGATGCAAACTTGCAGCTGAAGTCTTTGGGCGTGTTGTACTGAAAAGAGATTGGAGTTGGCTTTGGGGAGATCAGAAAGTAGTCATCGCCTGAAGCAAAGAGAACAAATTGACCCGCCCTCTACAAAAAAAACAGTTTCTTGCCAAACACAACTGGGGTAAGCGCTCACTGATTCAGCTGCTCCATCCCCAACAGCACCTGGTCGCTTCATGTCATGATTGTTGATTGAGACGTCGATGACGTCTTCGTCCTCCATTTCAACCAGCAGCCGCCGCCATGTGCTGCGGTCTGAGTCCACACAACTCTTGGAGCCATCTTGAGGGACTTCAAGAATGACTTCCTCCAAATCCGAACGCCACTCACATGTGATCACCTTGTCAAGGTCTCCTGGCACAACATCCCTTGAGCTAGGTGAAGGTACCAGATAATAAACACATTGCATCAAATCATTTGTTCTTTTGCTGATGTGCTTCCCCACTTTCCTTCAACTACGATAAGACCTGGGCTCTTGCCAGTCAGTGCTAGGACTGCCCATCCCAGATTCGCAAAACACTGAGTTCAGCAGGAGAGCCGGGTGTCTAGAAACACCTTAAGCTGGTCCGCTGACGCTTCCTACGAAGGAAATCCCAAACACCAAGCCCCCTTCACGCTCATGAGCTTTACCCTTAGATTGGAACACCAAACAATACCAAACACTACACTTGGAACAATAATGAACAATACCAAACACTGTACTTTGACAGAAAGCCTGGAGAAGATGTGGAAGGTGTTGGTCAGTGTGACTTTATTGAGTTTCTTTGACCCAACTTCAACTCAGGGCTTGGTGTGCTAAGGTGTGCTTTGAAATCTTCAAGCTTGGAATCCCCACTAATCACTGCCAGCCTTCTTGGGCTTGACCAATCTCCTTTTGACGAGATCGGAGTGGGTCATGTTCTTCATCGAATTTACGCGCTCAGGATGTGTTTGCCACCTGTCAGAACCACGATTCAGTCAATTAGCTGTGTGGGACAGGGGAGCTGCCTTCTCACAAACTAGTCACGAGTTTAGTCAATATTCCAATGTCACTTGTCATAAGGCGCGAACTGTGCACGTGCTTCAGTGAGAACCTCTAGAGGCTTCCAATCAGGGTGCTCCTCCTTGATCCTGGCCATCGCCTCTTTCAAGTGTTGCTGGTAGACAGCCCTGAGGCCAGGATTGGGTTCCTGGCCAATCAACTGTCTCACATGTCTTGCACTGAGGCACATGGAGGCCTGCCTTCTTTGGCTTCTTCTCATCGGCGACAGCCTTTCACAAGGCGGGGTTGGACTTGCACAAAAAGAGGGTCAAAGGGCGATACATCAAGCAGGGTCAAAAGGCGGGAAGGAATTTAGATGGTTAATAACACAATGTACTTCGAAGAAAACCGGCCTTGGGTTTTTTGGATTTCAGCTGCTGCTTCTCTACCTTCCTCCTTGTCTTCGGGCTAGGGTCCAACCAAAGGGTGTCTTCAGAGTTGGCGGGTGAGGAGTCTGGGCTCTCTGGGTCCAGCACAGCATCCTCATCCTCCTGCGAGGGCTGAGTATTTGGGATCTCTTCCTGCTCCTTGTCCTCCTTGGCTTTGCTTGAACTAGGCTTTGAGCGCTTTGAGAAAGCCTTCAACTTGGCTATTGCAGCACGTCTTCGTTCTTTCTTTGCCTCAGCAGTCTCCTTCCCTGGCTCTTCCTCTGCTGTCTTTGCCTTTCCCGTCTTCTTTGCCTTCTTGGCAGACTCTTTGTCCTTCTTGTTCTCATTCTTCATCTCTGCCTTTTCTTGCTTCTTCTTGCCCTTCTCCGCTTCCTTCTGCTTCTTCTTGTTTTCCCTCTCCAATTCCTTCTCCTTCTTCTTGTTTTCCCTCTCCAATTCCTTCTCCTTTTTTCTTGCTTCCTTTTCCTGCTCTTTGGCAATGCGTTTCTCCTCCTTCATGGCTTCTTTTTCCTTCTTCTTTTCTTCCTTGGCCTTCCTTGTGTTTTTTCTTTTCTTCGAGGGTTCTTCTTCATCTGAGTCCAAGGAATCTTCCTCCTCCTCTTCATCCTCCGCTTCTTTCTTGATTTTGTTGTTCTTTGTTGAACGCTCAGGGAAGAGTCGCTTCACGCCAATCTTCGGCGGAGGTTTTTCTTCCTTCTCATTGCCTGTCTTGCCTTCTGCCTGTCCGCTTCTGCCTTCCTTGCCTTTCGTGACTTCTGTCTTGCTTCTCCCTTCTGCTTCAGCCTTCTTTGATTCCTCACTGGGCTTACCTCCTTCTGGACTCAGTTTGAGCTTTCTGGCAACATCCTTTGCTCGCTTGGATTCTTCAACCATTTGGCTCAACTCAGCCACACGTTGAGGAGTCAAGCGAGGATCATTGGCGTCAGTCCTTTCTGCAGATGTCATTGGCAAACGAGCCTTTCCCTCCGGCATACTTTGACCCACTCTGACCGCTTTGCCAGGGTCAGAAACCTTGGGATCGGTCTTCGCCAACGAAGATGAAGGCGGAGATGACAAACGGGCCTTCGGAAGGGCTTTGGCGAGCTTTCGATTTTTAGGGGGGTTGATAATTGATTTCAATGCTGATTCAATCAAAACGTCCCATATTTAGTGGGCAGCAAAACAAAATGGGGCCCAGACAGTCGGTGGAGGGGTCTGAGCTGCACCTGGGTCTCCAGCAGCCATGGTTTGGAAGTCCTGCATTTTGGGAAACACCTGGAGAGGGACACCTCGGAAACAGTTGTAGCCAAAAGATCACAAGTGCAGTCCTGCCCAAACCCATGGTCAGCAAGGAGCGACGTCAAGTTCACCATTGAAGCAGAGTTGGCAGAAACAACAGGTCCACACCTTGGCACCCTGGGTACTTGAGTCTGGCCTGTGACTTGATCCCAAACTTTAAGCCGCCAAGTATAAAGGCACTAGGTCAGATCCCATGGCAAGTCTCCAACTGACAAGAAACATTCATGCAAAGAATCAGCCCCGAGTGTTTTTCCAGTAAACCCATCCTGGTCGAGCTTCCCGTTTCAAGGACATCACCTTCTCGGCTTTCAGGAACTTTGAAGTCCCATGCGCAATCTGAAACTCAGTAGTCGGGATCTCTACAGGCATGTGGGCAACCTGAGATTATTAGAATTTGTTTTTTGGTTGTGTATAAGTTGGGCCACATATTATCGGTCATGGTGTATAAGTTCAAATGATTCTGCCACAAATCAATAGACTAAGCCACCAAAAACAGTTTGTAGGTTTGGTTCTCTGCCACTTCGGTAACGGCGCCGTTCCTTGCTTTGGCCTGTACCACATATAATGTAGATCCCGGTGTCCTTCCTGCCACCTTGCTTTCAATCACATACCTGTCTGTGAGATCTTGGACGTTCGTCGGTTCATCCCAAGCCGGCAGGCCTGGGTCCTCCTCCACGATGGCATCAGCAGCGTGGGAATGCGACAGCGTCTCGGGAATAAGGTGACTCTGAAACCTTGGGCGACGGATAACTTCAGGGGGGGTTGTAAGTTCCCTCAGCAACTTCAGGGTTTCTTCAATCAGGAAAAATCGGCTTTAAACTAAGCTTAAGAAACTTGAGGGTTGCGTGATATGAAAAATTGTTTACAAGAAACCTGGTGTCGAAGTCGCTGATGAGTTCTTTCCATTCTGCCCCAAACACCACATCATCGTAGTAGAGCATACGGAAGTCCTGGCCCAAGGAAATCTTGAGGTTCTTCCATC